AGTTTCCATAAATTATATGGATTTGTCCTCATTTTGCGAACGTACAGAGAAAGTCTTATAGAGTTTTCTAAAACTTAGCTTCAAATTTATTTAATGACTCAGAGCCAGCCCATAATGAAATGCTATGGTTGCAAACCCCCACACACACCTCCTGAGCCTCTCTGCTCCGCCCCACCTCTGTTGCAACAGACAACCCCCTCTGCCACCATTGTTTGAGAGTACTAAAGATTTTTAATCTTATTTCATGGATTTCTGAGGGTCAGTACTGTATACAGGTAACCCCAAAGGGGTTGACATGTACGCCACCAATAACTGCAAACTAGATCTGAATCGTCATTTCCTCTCTGATCGTAGTAGAGTGTTACTTAGTTTTTTCTAGTTTTCTAGTGCCTCACGGTGGCACAGCTGGTAGAGCTGCCGCCTCTCAGCAAGAAGATTGACGGATAAAATCCCAGCCTGGGGCCATTCTGGATGGAGTTGTATGTTCTCTCTGTGGGTTTTCTCCGGGTACTCCAGTTTCCTCCCACAGACCAAAACCATGCATGTTAGGCTGATTGGTAACTCTAAATTGTCTCTAGGTGTGAGTGAGAGAGTGAACGGATCTTCGTCTTGTTTGTCTCTACGTATCCCTATGATGGACTGGAGACTTGTTCAGGGTGTCCCTGTGATGGACTGGAGACTTGTCCAGGGTGTCCCCCACCTCTCGCACAGTGACTGCTGGATATGGGTACCAGTGAGCCGCACAAAAGGAAGAAGCAGGTAAAGATAATAGATGGATGGATGGTTTTCTAGTTTCTACTTCAGTATGGCAGCTCCAAAAACACTGCTTTGGACTAAAAATGAGGTCTGGACCTTTCTGTCTATATTGGCGGATGAGAGGATTCAGCGTGAGTTGGATGGCGCTACAAGAAACCGCCCACTTTGCATTGAAAATCCTGTCTACAGAGCTGGGAACCTACCTTTAATTAATTCCCCCAATGAGGATTACTAGAGCACAAAAAAGTCTCAGTGTAAATTCACCTCCACCTGGTAAGGACCGATAAGACAAGAACCGACTCAAGTTGCGCTCATTACTGGCATAGCTGCTTTAGCCTGTACCTGCTCTGGGCCCTCCTCCCCCTCACCTCACTGCTCAGATACTCATGTGAGCCCAAGATGTGCGAACAGCATGTAAACAACCAAAGCTCTTGGGTGCCCAAGGAAGGAGGAGAGGAAAAGTAGACAGAAAACTTGACACAGACAGAGATACAGAGGTAAAAGTCAGGAAATTATTTCTCTGTTGCAGAAATAATGTGCTTTGCAGATCAATAAACAGAGTTTGGACTTTATAACAACAAATGTTCTGCAGCAGCCTGAACTGACATGACAACTAGTCCTGTGTTCGGACCAGTACCAAGACTTGTTGTTTACCACCTACATTCACAAAGAAAACGAAACAGTTTTGTGTTTTATATCATCTTATAGCTTTAGCATCAGGGGATTTTGGTCAAGGTTTATGGACGTATTTTAACTACTATGGCTGAGAATGTTAACTGCCCATGAACCATGTGTTTGAGTTAGCAGAGAGTTCTTTTCTCTCTCAGAGTGAACGAGAAGCTGATTTAATGCTGAGTGCACAGCTGGCAGTCCAAGGACACCAGTCTGTCTGTGAGCCGGGAGCTGATAAGCATATACAAACAAACCTCGCACACTGCCCATGGCAGATTCTCATGACTCCATGCATGTAGAACTTCTGCACATCTGTGTAACCTGTTGTGAAAGTCTGCCCTTGCAAGTCATCCATCCATCCATTATCTTTTACCCGCTTCTTCCATTTTGGGTCATAGGGGTCACCGGTGCCCATGTCCAGCAATCACTGTGCGAGGGGCGGGGTACACCCTGGACGGGTCTCCAGTCCATCACAGGGACACATAGAGACAAACGAGACAAACAACCATTCACTCTCTCACTCACACCTAGGGACAATTTAGAGTTACCAGTCAGTCTAACATGCATGTTTTTGGTCTGTGGGAGGAAACCGGAGTACCCAGAGAAAACCCACGCATGCACTGAGTGAACATGCAAACTCCACCCAGAAGGGCCTCTGGACCAGGATTTGAACCAGGGACCTGCTCGCTGAGAGGCAGCAGCTCTTGCAAGTCAAACTTGTAAAAAAAATCTCCTGTCATCGAGTGTGGCTTTTTTGAGTAAGTAAGATGGATAGAAAACATTTTTATCCAACATTTAGAAACCAGGTTGTCCAATTAAAACAGTGAACACCATTATATTGAATTTGAAACAGAACATCATCCAATATTTGCTGATGGCTAAGATGGACACCTCTATGTATAAGTCGTGGAGTGAAGCGGTCCATGGGGGTCCAGGGGCATACCCAGCAAAATAAAATAAAAAAAATCTACTCAACAATATGCATTTTCTAGCCATTTGAAGAGGATTAATAAAACAACAAAATCAGTATATTATGGATGTAGCACACTGACAGCTGGTCTGTAGGCTGAACTTTATCTGAGGTCATACTTGAAAACTACATTATTCTTATCTTACCGCATCAAAGTGTACTTTTATTACGAAATATCCTCTGCCTCACACAACACCTCATGTAGTAACAACATATATCGTGAGAAACCCACAGAACAAATTACCTCCATCCGCCTGAGAAACCTGAGGCTGTTCTACATCATAAATCAACTATTACACATATAATGTAACAAAGTACAATTTATTTGTTGAGGGCAGCACGGTGCCACAGTTTGTAGAGCTCTTGGTGACCTCTCAGCGAGCAGGTCACCCTGGTTCAAATCCTAGCCGGGGGCCTTTCTGGGTGGAATTTGCATGTTCTCTCCGTGTTGCGTGGGTTTTCTGCAGGTACTCCAGTTTCCTCCCACAGACCAAAAACATGCATGCTAAACTGATTGGTAACTCTAAACTGTTCCTAAGTGTGAGTGAGGGAGAGCATGGTTGTTTGTCTCTATGTGTCCCTGTGATGGACTGGAGACCTGTCCAGGTGTCCCCTGCCTCTCAGACAGTGACTCCTGGATATGGGCACCAATGACCCTCGCAACCTGGAATGAAAGAAGTGGGTAAGGATAATGGATGGATGGATGATGGGTTGATGGATGGATGCATATATGGATGGATGAATGGACAGATGTATGGACTGATTGATGGATAGATGGATGGGTGGATGGATGGATAGATGTATGCATGGATAGATGCATGGATGATGGACGCATGGATGGATGGATGCATGGACAGATGCATGGATGGATTGATGCATGGACGGATGCATGGATGGATGGATGGATGCATGCATGAATAGATGCATGCATGGATGGATGCATGGATGCATGGATGGATGAATGCATAGACAGATGTATGGATTGATTGATGGATAGATGGATGCATGGATAGATGCATGGATGGATGATGGATGCATGGATGGATGGATACATGGATGGATGATGGATGGATGGATGGATGCATGGATGAATGCATGGATGTATGGATGGATGCACGGATGGATGTATGGATGGATGCATGGATAATGGATGGATGGATGCATGGATAATGGATGGACGGATGCATGGATGATGGATGGTTTTACCAAGAAAAAAAGATGATTGAGAATCTTTTCACTAAATAAACTACAACTTCCTAGTAACAAAGTTGTGAAGTCCTCCTACATCTCATGGTGCACATGTGCACACGCCCACAACAAAGAATATGGAAATAAGATGCAACATCTGCACATATCCAGATGTGAAAAGACAAGAATCATTCATAGAGACAGGTTTAACAAGACCAACCAGCTCTGAGAACTGATGAGAAGACGTCTGCTGAGATATTTAGATCATCAATTCATTAAGAAAACACAACCTCATCATCTATAGACCAATTTTTACTGAACATATCTTTAATATATCAATTGTGGTTTTACCAGCACATTACTTCTTATTTATTTAGTTATGTGAAAGAAATATTTAATGGACCATTAAATCAAATCTAAGATCTACATTTAAGATTTTAATTTAATCTAATTTTTATTCTAATTTAATCTGAGTGCTACACTTAAAATGTTTTTTATGGGGGAAAACAAATGTTTGCATGGGCCAGATTTGACCTGCTGGCCTTGAGATTGATGCATGTGCTTTACATGAACTAACAGAAGCAACATCTGGGCTCACAGTTATAATAAATAAAGAAGTGGATGAGGAATAACATTTAGAGTCAACATGAGTGAGCTGAGAAAATAAAAACAACAATAAAAAGCAGACAAATGTGGAACACTAACTGAACAGATTAAATTTTTTCAAACTTCCTGAGAAATGTGAGGTTGGAGTTTCCTCCAGGACAGTTTTCATCTCAGCTCAGGCTGCAGAACATCAGCTGGAGTTAAAATGTCCAAACAGTTTATTGATGAGCAGAACACGTTCATCGTTCTGAAACAAATGAATCTTTACTTTTTTACTGTACCAGTCTTGCTCTCCCTCCTCTACAAGACTGACTCACTTGTATTGATGATATCTCTTTTCATGTGATGCAGGTAAGACATTTTCATCTGCGACGAGTGCTCAAGCAGTGTGCCTTCACCAACATGCTCACCACAGAACATCTGTTGATGCTGGAACTGGCTCCAGCCTCCTCCTGATGTTGTTCCAGTAAGAAGGCTGATTACCAAACAACATTTCCAGGAGGATAAATAGTTCCAGATGTTGAAGACATTTCCTTGTTTTGTTCTTGCTCCTTATTGACCCAGATTTACATTATGTTAGAATTTAATCTGCTACATTTTTAAGTGTTGTTCTACATTAGTGTACATTACAACCCCTCCAGTGTAAAAGTAAATGTTTCATTTTTATAAGGCGGTTGTTGTAACTGTAGCTTTCTGTCGCTGGAGGGGGAAATGTCCAAATGTTCTCCTGATGTTCCGGCTCGCCACAAACTCCACACGAACACCGTGTTCCCTTCAACAAGGAACGTCAGAGGTTCCGACAGCTCACCTGACCTCTGCACCACCGACCGGAGCCCCACGGCCAGCCCGAGCAGCACCCCCGCCAAGCACATCTGGATGCCGAACAGCTGCGTCCGCTTCTTCCGCCAGCGGTTGCTCCTCCGCCGGGTCAGCATCCCTCCTGCTCCGGCTGCCATCCCCGGCATCCCCTGGACCACCACGCGGGTCATGGCGTCCTTGTGTCGGCCAGCGGTGCGGCGGCAGCCCCCCCGGTGGTGGAGCAAAGACAGGACAAACTGGGGCGGAGGGTGGACAGGGACACCGGAGTTACTGGACGCAGGAAGACCCGACAGGCTTATCGATGGCAGTGTAAAGAGAACCGCACTTAACAAAATCTACACATCCGGTGTGGCGTTTCAAAATAAAACACAAACGATTTATTAAAATATGAAGGAAAAATAAAAAAAAAAAGTGTTTTAAGTTAGGCGTGGGAGAGTGGGGAATGAAGTATCAGCTGTGCCTCCATAAATTCATTAACGTACGTGTGTGTGTGTGTGTGTGTGTGTGTGTGTGGGGGGGGGGGGGGGGGGTATGTGATAGGCCACTGAAAACAGACTTTCAGAAATTTCCATTTTGTTGTTCTTGTAAAAGGCTAGCACAGTCGCTCAGTTGGCAGAGCTGCTGCCTCGCAGAAAAAAGGTTGCCGGTTCAAATCCCGGCCAGGAACCTTTCTGGGTGGAGTTTGTATGTTCTCTTTGTGCTGTGTGGGTTTTCTCCGGGTACACCAGTTTCCTCTCACAGACCAAAAACATGAATGTTTGTCACAAATCCAATTGTCTAGAAACCCAATGTGCAAGCAGGACTCAGTGGCAAATCAGATCCATCCATCCATCCATCCATCCATTTTCTTTACCCGCTTATTCCATTTTGGGTCACGGGGGTCGCTGGTGCCCATGTCCAGCAATCACTGTGCGAGGGGCGGGGTACACCCTGGACGGGTCGCAAGTCCATCACAGGGCCACATAGAGACAAACGAGACAAACAAACATTCACTCTCTCACTCACACCTAGGGACAATTTAGAGTTACCAATCAGCCTAACATGCATGTTTTTGGACTGTGGGAGGAAACCGTAGCACCTGGAGAAAACCCACGCATGCACGGAGAGAACATGCAAACACCACCCAGAAAGGCCCCTGGACCAGGGTTTGAACCAAGGACCTTCTCGCTGAGAAGAAGCAGCTCTACCAGTTGCGCCACCGTGCTGCCCGGCAAATCAGATAATAAAACAAAATTGATTTATTATCCACATGGAAAACATAAAGATGCTGACGGAGCAGCAACACAACTCAAACAGACACTGGCAGTAACAAGGCCACATAAGAATTGAACTGGTGTAACTATTTCACTTAATGCTCCAATACTGAGACACAGGAAACACAAACATTTAAAGGGGAGACACTAATTACCAAAGTACAACACACCTGGTGAGAAGGCAAACAGGTGAACAGGGCAGGCACAGCTCCCTGTAATGTTAGGCTGATTAGTAACTCTAAATTGATGGACTGTACTCTGGAGACCTGTCCAGGGTCCAATGACCCATGTGACCCAAAAAGGAAGAAACGGATAAAATATAATGGATGGATGTTCTTGTAAATAGCAATTTGAAAACTGAGGCAATATGAGAGTGAAGGAATCACCACCTGATGATCTGAGTTTCTTATTTTACAGCTAATTTGACTGATTCTGTGACATGCAGAGAAAATAAATTGTAAATTATAAATTGTCCTTACGACTGGCTTTTTGTCCTTTTCCCTAAAAAAATTCATATGTCAAATGTACATCTTTAATTTGAAGGGATACATTAACAAAACTTTTACTAGAAACAAGCTTTCTCAAGTTAAATCACTTTTATTTTTATATTTTTATTTGCTTATTGCTCTTTTTTGTGGAAAAAAGGGGTATTATAAATGTCTAAAACTGGGAATAAAAAAGGACAATTATTATGAGACTCTGTATCATAAGCTTGAGGTTGTCCTCATTCAGGGGAACCAGAGGTTTTATTTAAGTTTCTTTTTTATTATTTAAGTACACTTGTATTTTTAATTCATAACCGTGTAAAAATAATGTTTGTTTTTAGTCCTGATTCATGCTCAATAACCCAGGTAGAAAAATCTAACAAGGTTATGTCAGGTCATCTGGACAGATTCTTTTAAGTTGAAACGTTTCGTTCAACAGTCTCAGTCAACAGTCTCAGTCATAACGTTCTCCCTGAACTTCTAAAAAAACTCACATTTGCTTTTTCTGCTTCATGCTCAGCACACAATGATACCAAACTACCCAACGGCATGTTTGTTTTCTGTTAAATAAACTGAATGGGTAATGAAAAGATTAAAGACACTTGTGGTGCTAATTAAAGTCACTTTGTTTGAAAAATGACCACAGTGAACAGATTAATAGTGTCTTTAAGGGTATAAAAAAATCTGTCCATAATATTTTAGCATATCTTGATATAATGAATAACAAATTATTTATTTTCAGATTTTAGGCTTTGTATGCATCTTTTACGTTCGTGTAAACACGGTCCAGCGTGTTGTTCCCACGTGTTAGAATTGCCACATGCTGATAAAAGCTTGGGAGACAGTCCTTTAGATTCACATGATTTAAGTCTCCGGCTACCATGTAAAGAGCCTCGGGGTGTTTGTTCTGCAGCGAGCTGAGTATATCATGTAGCTCCTGTAGTGTTTCATTAGAATTAGCGTCCGGAGGAATGTAAATAACCGTGATGAAAGTCACTGTGAACTCGCGGGGTAGATAATGAGGCCGACATTTCACTGTTATTTGCTCCAAAGCCTTCGAGCATGAGCTACTTACAACAGTACAGTTCATGCACCAACTTTTACTCCCGTAAATGCATACTCCGTCTCCCCGTGATTTTCCCGTTAGCTCGCTGCAGTGGTCCGCTCGAAAAAAACAGTCTGTCATCCAGCTTGAAGACTGTGTCCAGCATTTCACTTGTAAACCACGTTTCTGTGAGGCAAAGCACTGCACACTTCTTCATCTCTTCTGAGGCGCTCGCTATCAGATGAAGCAAATCCATCTTGTTGTCCAACGAGCAGATGTTCGACAGAAAGAGAGACGACATCGGGAGTTTTCCGGATTTAGCGTTAGCTCGTAGCCTCACCCTTACCCCCACCCAGCATCCTCTCCTCTTAAGCTGGGAGCAGTGCTTCCTCTTCTGCCCACTGGAACGCCTCTGCTGCAGCTTCCAGGTAGATGACTTTAAGATCTGCATTCTTCCGAGCATAGTTTTGAGTTTGTTGCTGATTTCTGCTATATTTTGTGGCAAATCCACTCCTATTCTCATCAGTTCGGGGCCACCTGCATCATGAAGGACCCCACTCACGCAGCACACACACTTTTTGCCCTGATCCCCTCAGGCAGGAGGTTGCGAGGCATTAAGTGTAAAACCAATAGACTGAGGAACAGCTTCTACCCTGAGGCTGTTAGACTCATGAATATCTACCCAGAATAACCACTGTAATGACACTTTAATTGGTGATATGTGACTATGCTGCTGATTATCCATGCTGCTGATTTCTGAGCCGTAAGCTGCTATATTCATACCCATCTGCTCACAACACTCATGTTCATGCTGCTGTTTAATACACTTTATATTATTATATTATTATTGTTTAGCTTATATCTTAGATCCTTGTTTACTGTTTCTTTTTTATAGACTTTATATTTTTTATATTTTTGGGTGTAACTGGGCCTTGTGTACACAATTTCATTCCACCTCATGTACCACATGTGATGCGAATGACAATAAAGTCTCCTTGAACCTTGAATCTAAAGGCATGCTGATTAGACAAATGCCTTTGAATCTCTTGTCAAGAGAAATGAAGTGTTGTTTTAATTAGCTGTAAGCATGTTTGTGTAACGGTGTGTTCATGAGAATTCAGATGTCTGTTTGGAAACAGACGTGCTCACAGTTTGCCCATTTGTTTCAGCTCAGTTTGTCACCATCTATTATGCATGCTGCCAGTGTCACGGTGTGATGGTAAAGGAGATGAGGGTCATTCAAACAGATTTGTTGGCAGTAAATTAGCTCATTTATTCAAATAAGCAGTTTCTTCTTTGTGCTTTTGTCTCAATGAATTCGTACTTCTCCTTATCCAGGTGTCTGGTCCAGATGGGAGAGCTTAGGGGAACATTCTGTGCAGGGTGGAATACAGGGGTGGAAAGTAGCGCATTACATTTACTCACCTTCATAGGCGATATTAAGTATATAACTGTAAATTAAAACCAGGAGGAGAAAAAATGCACACTGTAAACCTGCAGAGATTGGATCGGTTCCTTACCAGTCAGCCAGTGTTTCATCTTGCTAGAAGTGATGATGAGTGTTAGGATCTGTGTTCTGGCTCCTTCTCCTGACCCTTTTTGTTATTTCAGGGCTGCTGAGCAGTAGTTCTGGTGAGCACAGCTGATCCTCCTCAGCTTCTTGTCCAACCCTTTAAGAGGCTGAGTTACTTCAGTTTTCCAATGGATTTTTAGTCACCAACAATAATTAACCTTCAGTCCCTATTTTGAATTTTTGAAAATATTTATCTTACCTCTGCTCTTTACAGAAGTTCCTGAATATGCTTGCTCACTTGTGGACCTTCTGAAAATCCTGATCTTCTCCAAGCCTGTCTCCTCTGAGATCCTGCAAGACATTTTTCTTAATTGACTCAGTTCTTTACTCCCAGCTTGTCTGCTTTCAATATACAGCACCTGGTCTTTGGTACTCCTGGACTCTTTCTATTATGAGCACATAAAAGCCTGACAGTACCACCCAAGATCTGGAAAACACAATAATACGAGTAAGGATTGATCAATCGATCCTTAAGATCCTAAGATCTTAAGATATATCTTAAGATCTTAAGATCCTAAGATCGATTCCTTCCTTCCTTCCTTCCTTCCTTCTTTCCTTCCTTCCTTCCTTCCTTCCTTCCTTCCTTCCTTCCTTCCTTC